ATTCATATTGGATAGAAGCTATTATCTCACTTTGACAGATGGGGGAAATGAGACAAAGAGTGCCTCAGATCACATACTTACTAGGTAGGTGGCAGAGCGGGGATTTGAGCTACAAGTCTGGATCCGGAGTCCAGGTGCTCTTGTGGTGGCCAGCCACCACCAGCTCCTTCCCACCCCAGATGTGCAGGCCACTTCTTGAACCCAACTCAGCCTTGGTGACCTAAACTGGTACAAGGGACGTTCTGGACTTCTGAGGCCAAGCCACAGGATTCATGGAACACACCTTCTCGGAGGATGCCAAGCATCATGTTAAGTCAAGCTACCTTGGGACTAGCAGGCAGTAGGCACTCAGTCGGCCATCACCACCAAGGCATCAGATGTAGGAGTGAAGATTCTACAACCTTCCAGACCAAGTGACATACCAGTTGAGTACCACCAAATGGCCTGAGACCAGACCACAGTGTAAAATCACCCAGGTGAGCCCTGCCCAAATCTCTGGTGCACAAACCTACTCGCCTAGATTCAATGGCACCTGCTAATCTCACTTCAGGATGGCCATCCTGCAGGCCACCTGGCTAGCCTCCTCCTTCAACTCACAACACGAGAAGCTTCTCCATGAGGCCGCCTCCCCCTCTTCCCCACCATCGCTCTCACACCCAGATGGGTAAGAACCTTCCTTCCTCACACAGTACCAAGCCCAGACCCTCACTGTAGTACTGATCACACAACCCTGCAATGGCTGGGTGCTGAGTCTGTTCCCCACCAGGGCAGGGGCTCCACCCTTCTTCCTGTCACCCAGCAGTCCAGCACCCAGTAGGACAGCAAACACAGGTGGAACACATGAAAGTGCTCAATCGTGACAGGGTTCAAAGAGAGACCCTATTATACCCACTGACATTTTATGGTTCTAAGCAAAGCAACACATGACCCAAAAGCCAAGATTGAGCGTTTCTCAATCTCGGCACTACTGACACCTTGTCCTAGATTATTATTTGTGGTACAGGCTGTCCTGTGCATTTTAAGATGTTTAGCAGCATCCCCGGCCTTGATCCACTAGATGCCAGGAACACACCCATCCCCAATTATGACAACTATCTCCAGGCACTGCTAAATGGTCCTGGGGGGGGCTGGGAGAGGATTGCCCTGGTTGAGAACCACTCACTGCTTTAGACAGCAGGACCCATGAGTGTCTACTGTCACCCAGGCCTGACGGGCAGCGAGGGTGTATAATTCCTGTTCACAGGTCACACACCACCAAAACCAAGTGCCCATGGTCCTCTCACACTAGCCAGCAGACAGCACAGTAACCTGCATTTTTGTGCTACCTAGCAGCCCTGAAGGAACACCGTGGCTTGAAGGTCCCCCTCGGGATGTCACCCTTACAACAGCAGGTTGGAAACATAGCCCTGAGAGTCCCTATCGAGGACCTGAAGGCTTGTTCTCTAAGTCGTCAGGGAGCACTGTTACTAAACTCTTTACCCCAGAACTGGCTTTTTCTGTCATTTTTCCATGAATACATCTATCTCACACAGGACTGCCAGGGCATGTTCCAAAATGCAAGTGTGACCGCCTCATCCCTCTTCTGAAAACCCTCAGTGGATCCCTGCTGCCCTCCGGATAAAGTCCAAACACCTGAGCAAGATTTTGCTACCCCGCACCACTCATTGTTAGCAACAACAATGGCAAAAATTACAGCAGCAGTTCCCACTGGGTAAGTGCCTATCCCATGCCATGCACCATGTTCAACTCCTCTGACATATTAACTTATTTATTCATTCCCAACCATAACCCAGTGGGGTAGACACTAATATTATTCCCTTTCTAGAGATAAGAGAATTAAATCTCACAAAGCAGATGGGACTTGTCCATGGTCACACAGCAAAGCTCCTCAAATAGTGCATGAAGTCAAACCCCATGCTGTTTGTACCTTGTGCAATAGTATGGGCTCCATGAGGATCGGAGTCTATGACATCACTGCCATGTCTTCAGTACCTAGGACAGTGCCTGGCAGATTCCACATTCAAATATGGAAGGAAGGAGGGATGGCAGGATGGATGGAAGTCTCAAGAGCAGCATATACCAAACCTAGCTAATTATCCGGACTACTGGGAAGCTTATTAAAATATTGAGTTCCAGGGCCTGAGAGTTTTATACCCAGACGATCACTCAAGTGTAAAATCAAAGAATGTATACGTTAGAGTATGTGCCATCTGAGGTCATAGTGAAGAAAATGAGGGGCCAGGTTTAGCTCAGAAAAACACTGATAGAGGGACACCTGAGTGGCTCAGTGGTTGAGGTTCTGCCTTTGGCTCAGGGCGTGAACCTGGAGTCCCAGGATCAAGTCTGCATCAGGCTCCCTGCATGGAGCCTGCTTCTCTCTCTGCCTGTGTCTGCCTCTCTCTCTGTGTGCCACTCATGAATAAATAAATAAAACCTTTAAATAATCAATAAATAAAAATAAAATAAAATAAAATAAAATAAAATAAAATAAAATAAAATAAAATAATAAAATTACTGAGTTCCAAACCACCTAGTGAATGACAGCCATCCTCAGCCTCTCCAGGGAGGGCAGAAATCCACTGAGTTAACTGAAGGGGGAGAAACTACAGGACATGGATTTCAGGAGCCAAAATCCCATCTCATGCCCCTTCGAGTGAGCTTCACAAAAAGGTTCCAGTAGCTTGTGCTTTTAAAAACCCCCAGGTAGTTCTGATTATCAGCTGGGCTTGGGACCCACTGTCCACTCTCACTATGGCATGCCTGCATTTACCACGAGCACCCCTTCTACACCCTGCAGGCCCCCACCCCCACCCCAGCTCCAACAGGTTTCTGGGCCACCTGGGAGGTCAAGTGTGGCCAAATGCATGCAAAACTGGAAGGAAAGTGGGCTGCTTATGTACATGGGCATTTTCAAAGCAGGGCCTCTGGCTCTGAGCCACCAGAGACCTGCTTGGCTCCAAAGCCAGGAGAAACCTTTTGGAATGCAATTTAATCTGATTCATGATAAATCATGGGACACCTGGGTGGCTCAGTGGTTGAGCATCTGTCTTCAGCTCAGGACATGACCCTGGAGTCCTGGATTGAGTCCTGCATCGCATTCCCTGTGGGGAGCCTGCTTCTCCCTCTGCCTATATCTCTGCCTCTCTCTGTCTCTCATGAATAAATAAAATCTTAAAAAAGAAATCAAATGAAGCTAAGTCACCTGTGGATGGCCAAGTTCAGAACCCCACAGCAGCATGGATTAAAATCTGGGAACAGGTACCTCCTGGGCTTTTGGGGGGTGCTGCCAAATGGCCCTTTCACTCAGAAGTAACACTAACAGGAAGCTGTCCTTCGGGTTCTGTTCATGTTAGACTAAAAGCAGGCAAGGATAACCCACACACTGCTAGTGGGAACGTAAAATGCTATAACCACTTTGAAAATAGTCTGGCAGTTCCTAAGATAATTAAACATAGTTACCATATGACCCAGCAATTACACTCCTAGGCAAATGCCCAAGAGAAATGGAAACACACTTGTACATGAATGCTCAGGGCAGCACAATTCACAGTAGCCAAGTAGAAACAACCCAATGTCCATCAATGAACAAATAAACAAATTATGGAAAACCCATACAATGGAGTATTATTCGACCAAACAAAGGAACAATGTACTGACATACGCTACAATGTGGATGAACCTTGGCAACATCACGCTAAGTGAATGAAGCCAGACACCAAAGGCCTCATATTACAGAATTCCATTTATAGGAAATGTCCAGAACAGGACAATCAATGGAGACAGAAGACTCATGGTTGCTTAGGGCAGGGGAGGAGGGCAAGGGCTATCAGGAATAGGGTTTGTTTTTGAGGGGATGAAACAGTTCTAAAATTGACTGAGGTGGTAGCTGGTTGCACAGATCTGTGAATACACTAAAAACCACTTAATTGTCCATTTTCAGTGGGTGAATTGTATAGTATGTGAATTCTATCTCAATAGGGCTGTTATCAAAAAATAAAAATAAAAAAGGGAAAAATGCAAGTATAGTTGCTGTAGCTAACAGCAAAAGACCATAAAGAACCTGAACGTCCCTCTCCAGGGATCAGACCCTTAAGGACAGCCAGAAGCTACGTGGCTGTGAAAGAATCAGGAAGACCCAAGTGTGGATCAGAACCGTCTCCAAATAATCACTAAAAAAAGAAATCAAGGTGCAGATGTGTAAGGAGTAGGGACTCATTCGTGCAAAAAACAGGACCTGCGTGTCACACAAGCACAGAATAATCTGAAGACAGAAGAACTAAGTAATGAGTTGGCCGCAGGGCCCAGGGTGGGGCTGGGGAGGAGAGACATTTATCAATGAATTGTTTGGTTTCTTTCCACGTGTATATCTCAATTTTTCAATCAAATTGGCTTTTTTTAAAAAAAAAAAAAGGAGTCCATTTTTAAAAAGCAAATTAAAGCAAGTCTCTGCAAGTGAAAATTGCTTAAGCCTCCTTACTCTGTGAAAAACAGTCTTAGAAACTTTAGGAACTGAACCAATTGCCCAATCTAAGGCGGGTGGGGAAAGAAGACGCCACCCCCAGGACTAGAGCTTCATTTAAAAGCTACAGAATCCTCAGTGATGTGCTCGGTCCACATGGAACAAAAGTAAAGGCCTCTCATTCTGTGGTTCATGGTAAGACAAAACAGGCATTTGGCTACCAAGCCAGGAGTTTCTGCAGCTCCGTCACTAAGCTGTTAAGGGGCAGACTAAAGGGTTCCCAATGCCATCAGGCAGGGAGCACACGCACCCCTGCTGGCCCAGGTGAGCCGCCTAAACGTCATTTCCAAGTTGGCCCACGCAGGTCTCCGTTACATCACCAGGATGCTGCTGGCTGGACTTCCCCCACCTACTCTAAACCCCATCAGAGACCCAGACAGAATGGCCACACTTGCATTTCCAGAAGAAGGGAAGGGATCAAGCACGATAAGTGAAGGCAGGAAGGGGACAGGTGCCCGCACCAGGGCTCAAGGGTACTCACAGAAGCCCTCGATCTTGTCGGCTGTCTTGCTCCAGGCCACCTGGCGCGTCTCCATGATCACCTGGACGGTCCTCCGCTCTGGGGTGGACTTGCGGAAGCTGAACACCGTCATCACTGTGCCCAGCTCCAGGGCTCTCTTGATCTGACTCTTCTCGTATTCCGGAAGGCTGTCCACGTGGACCAGGGCAGTCATTGTTGGCAGAATGGGGGGAGCAGTGAGGGAAGAGGACGCTGCAGGGGCAGAATAAAGAAGTGAATTGGTTTTTGTTAACTAGTGGGGGGGATCAGCTAACAGCCAAAACCCTGTCTCATGCCCATCAGGAGGAATTGTGGAAGAATGGTTCTTGTGGCGGGGGAACCCGGGACCACTCGGACAACCCAGGCAGGACACCCAGAGGTTTAAGTAGAAGTGGAGGTATGGGAGGAGCCCCCCTGACCTCAGTGACTGAACTATTATCCTGGCTTTGAATAACCAAATCACCCTGGTCTGGCAGTGACCTCTACCCTCCCCACACACTCCCATGCAGCAGAATATTTGAATAGCCAAAGCAGCCCATTGGCCCTACTCCCCACCCCCAACATCCTTTTCTATCCTGCCTAGATTTTCCTCAGCATCCCCTTACTCCCCAAGTTGGGAACAAAAAAAAGTCCTATTAAGCCACTTCAGAATGTGTCTGGGGAGATCTCTGTGCTGAAATGGAGCCAAAAGGACAGAAAATATCAGGGCCCAGCATCTTCAAGTTCAAGTCTGGTGTGTGGCCCTGGGCAGGCTGGAGAATCTCCAGAAGCTTCAGTCCCATCTCTTCTAGATGCTTCTTAGGGCACCTGGGTGGCTCAGTGGTTGAGTGTCTCCCTTCGGCTCAAGGTGTGATCCCGGGGTCCTGGGATCCAGTCCCACATCGGACTCCCTGCAGGGAGCTTGCTTCTCCCTCTGCCTGTGTCTCTGCCCCTCTCTGTGTGTCTCTCACGAATAAATAAAATCTTTATTAAAAAAAGCAAATGGGCCTGTTGGGATGGTTAAGGGATCCTAAAAGCACAATACCACCAGCAGGGCACCTGGCATCCCACTCAGTGTACAGCAGGTGTTCTGGAACATCTCACATACCCACACACAGAGACGTTCCAGGCCCCAAATTCTCGAGGCTTCCTTGTCTGTCTATCCTCACATCTACATCCAATCCATCAGCAAATGCAACACCTCTTCCCAGGTGGCTAGCTCCTCCCAGGATCTCACACCTGGACAATTCTAATCGTCTACCTGGTCTCCTGATTCCACCCCAGCCCCCAACAGACCAGCACAGAGCAGTAGCTAAAAGACACTTTTCAAACAGGATGACATCATGTCAACCTCTCTGACCAGCCTGCTTCAGCCATAGCCCGAGCCCTTACTCTGCAGAGGGGAGTCCAATGGGAGACTTTGTAGACCCTCCTTCATTCCTGAGCCATATTTCCACACTTGTAAAGGGGAAGACAGATTATAGAAACCTCCAAGGCTCTTGGAAGGATTAAACCAAATAGTGTATCTTGAGGCCCTTGAAACAATGATGTGGGGTGCCTGGGGGCTCAGTAGGTTCAATGTCTGCCTTTGGCTCAGGTCATGATCTCAGGGTCCTGGGATGGAACTGAGTCACGCTCCCTGCTCAGCAGGAGTCTGCTTCTCCCTCTGCCCACTTGTGCGCTCTCTCAAATAAATAAATAAAATCTTACAAAAAAAATGCAAGGTCAGTACTCCTCAGATTTAGCTACAGCTGCTACTACCATCCATTGTCCTGTGCATCTTATCTCCTCCCCGCCCTCCAAATCCCACAGGATCAGGAGCCCACGCTGTTGCTCCATAGAGAGGCAGGTGTCCAGCCGGGGTCATGCAGGCCCTCACTCTGCATCCACTTTCCAACAGCCTCCTGTCAGGCCACTCAAAATCAGGGCCTCAGTTCCCTCATCTGCAAAATGGGGAAACCACCAGCCTCCCAGGGCACTGGAAAGTTGGAAAGCTAGTGCACGGACAGGCCCCCAACTCTTAGAGGGGCCTCACAGGATAGTCATCAGCCAGTTGTTCGACATGCAGGTGCCTCCTCTGTGCCAGCAGGGGAGCTGGGGACTGATATGCAAATGAGAGGGAGTGGGGAGAGGCCCCAGCCTTACCCTTTGCCCCCCCACCGCTCATGCCCATCACCAAAGGCACCTCCATAGGTATCTCGCAGCTGGAGATAAAACCATGAATTACACCTGCTCTCTGCCCACCTGGAACCAGACCTGTGTGCTCAACTCCTACCTGAAGAGGTCAGACAAAGCTTCTGGAAGAGGGCATCTGAACCCGATCTTTTTAAAAGGTGAAGCAGGAGGGAACGAGGTTCTGATCAGAGGAACAGGCCTAAGTAAAGGCCCCAGCAGCAGGACTGGTAGAGTGTGCCACAGGCTGAGAGGAGCCTCCTGCCTCATCACCCTGTAATCCAGGACTACGGGCTGAACCAGGTGCCTGCGGCCAATCCCAGACCCGTGAGCTGTTTACTGGCTTTCCCCAAGTGCCAGCGCCTGCTGTACCTGGTTCATCTCCTTTATCTCAGTGAGAACTGCCAGAGGTGAAAACCCAAGTCCTGAGAGGGGAAGTTACGTAATCAAGGTCACACACAAACATGGCAGCACAAGGATTCAGAACCCTGGTCTGAATCCCAACTCTGTAACACCTGCCTTCTGAACTCAGAATCCTGTGGCAGGGGACACCTGGGTGGCTCAGCAGTTGGGCGCCTGCCTTTGGCTTAGGTCATGATCCTGGGATCCGGGATCCAGTCCTGTATCGGGCTCCCTGCAAGGAGCCTGCTTCTCTCTCTGCCTGTGTCTCTACCTCTCTCTATATATATTTCTCATGAATAAATAAATAAATCTTTAAAAAAAAAAAAAAAAAGAATCCTGCAGCAGAATCTGGCCAGAAAGTAACTAATTCGGCACTCCCATCCTTCTTGAGAGAGGTTAAAGGACCTGCCTAAGGTCACACAGCTGGAAAGTGGCAGAAGTGGGATCTGCACCTGGCCCCAGCTCCACAGCCCTCTTCACCATGCTGACCACCCCTCGCCCCAGCCATGTGCCTCTAGAGCTTCCTCCCAGGTCTGCAGGCTGACATGCAACAGGGCACCAACAGGGAACCTTGTCACAACACCTCCACCCCCACTAAACCTGCCTGTCTGGAGGCAGTGGGACCCTCTGTCCTTTCTGATTCTGGCTCTGGGAAGGCCTTGGACTTAACCTTTCCCAGATTCTGGTTACTTCCAGCTCAGAAGCCCAGTGGATCGACTCAACTAGAAACATCAGGTCTGGGGCAGCCCAGGTGGTTTAGCGCCGCCTTCAGCCCAGAGCCTGATCCTGGAGACCCGAGATCAAGTCCCGCATCAGGCTCCCTGCATGGAGCCTGCTTCTCCCTCTGCCTGTGCCTCTGCCTCTGTGTGTCTCTCACGAATAAATAAAAAAAATTAAAAAAGAAACATCAGGACTCTCCTGTTGCCTCTCACCAAAGACTGGAAAGAGGTCCTCAGGGCCATAAGATCCTTGCAGTCAACCAACAAAATCCAGCCAGCTCCTGACTCAGGCTTCCAGAGCTTGATGCATTAAACTAAGGCAAAGAGGTCTCCAAGGCCTTCTCCCCAAGGGAAGGCACTACCATCACAGGCAATTTTCATTTTACTCCTGGAAAGAAAGACAGAAAAGAAAGAGAAGGAAAGACAGAAAGAAATGGCCCTGAAATCCCTTTTTTGTTCCTGTTTCTCATCTCATCCTCCCCTGGGTAACTTTGCAAAAGGACTTATGGTATCAGAGATTTAGTAAGAGGTGTTGCCATTTCTACTTTTCATGTCATTCTGTTTGAAATAAACTTCTGGGATTCAAGGACCCAGAACCAGGAAGCAGAGAAGTTTACTTCTTTTTTGGTGCCTTCGGCACACATTAGGCCCATACAGCAGTTTGTATCAAATCCCACAGAACGATTCTCTGTTCAATTCTGCAGTCACATCACAGAGAGGGGTAGCTGTTCCTCCAATGGCTCAAAGGAAGGTTGGCGTGGCTGCATCTCACACCCACCCCACAGCTACAGATTTTATTGGAGGAACAGGCAATATCATCCACTTCAGGTAGGAACGTGAAAGAGTCCATTTTCTCATGGGGCAACCTGTGATCATCTGTGAAACCATGAAACACGCATATGCTTTGATCAGCAATCACCTCTGTGCAGAAAGAAACACAAAGATGTTCACAGAAGCATTACTGGCAACAGAAAAGAACACAACGGGGAGGGAGGTCCCCTAAAGAAATCATGGGACATGAGTGCTAAAGCATGCTCAGTAGCTGTCTGGTAGCATGAGGAAATTTTATAGATCAAGTTAGATTCATGAAATAGATGAAAGAAGGGTGGCAAGCATCACAGAATTAGGTTTTTTAAAAGGCTGCCTATACATGAGTCTAGGGGAAGTGGTGACTTTCAGAGGAGGGAAGGGGAGAGATGAGGTCTTGACTTTTTATTAATTTAAGTGGTAACATATGGAGGAGCTTTTTCCTGTGTTTTTACTGTTTTCTAAATTAAGAAGGGTTCTGAAGTTTTCTTACCAACAATTTTTTTTAAGATTTTTATTTATTTATTCATGAGAGATACACACAGATAGGCAGAGACATAGAGGGAGAAGCAGGCTCCCTGCAGGGAGCCCAATGCAGGGACTCAATCCCGGGACCCAGACCCCGGGGTTAACGACCGCACCCAAAAGTACACAGACCCTCAACCACTGAGCCACCCAGGTGCCCATTACCGGCACTTTCTCACTGACTCCACCCAGCAAAAGGGCCATTCATGGGGTCTCACCTTTGCCTCTTCTACGGAAGCATCACACACTCAAAGTGGGGCTGTCACGTAGGAGGGGAGGATGGAGGTGGGGTGGGGAGACCAGTTGGGGGAGGCGGCGGTGGCAGCAGCAGCAGCATTGGGCAATTTCAGCATCCATGAAGCCCCCAGTGAGTACATCCCTGAACTGGTACATGCAAGGCACACACAGCCTCGCAGCAGGCTACGTGCCTGGGCCTGGCATGGGCCCCTAAATGTGCCCCTCTCTGCAGAACTACAGCTAAGGATGACGGCCAAGCCCCACACATGGCCCTTAGCTAGAGAGGGTCAAGAACTAGCCAGGGCACCCTTTCCATAGATAGGTCCCAACTCTCAACAGCCCTGGAATGTAGGTTCGAGGAGCCCTAGTAGTATCCAGGGTAAGGAACTGAGGCTCAGAGAGGTTCTTCAACGTACCCAGAGTCACACAGCTGGAATTGAAATTCAAATTAAGCTGATTCACAAAGCCACCTGTGTCCTTGTGCCACGTCACCCCCCCCCCCAACCCACCACATTCTCAGTCTGGTTTAAGATCAGGGTTCTGGAAAGAGCCTCTGCCCGTACTCCGCCGGCATCCAGGTGCCAAGCCCTGTTTAGACAACACGGTTTTCCCTCCAATTCTTCTGCTATGGGGGTGATGACCTCGTTGGGATTCCAAACCAGAACCACAAAAACACGCACAGACGAACACATATAATGATTTATGCACCCACCTGGGGAGGGCGGAGCGGGGATCATGAACCCCCCCGACCCTCCTGCTGTCTTCTGGGTGAAGGTGCGCGGCCGCCGTACCGCTCCACCGCCCACCCCCGCAGCCTCCTGTGTAACACGGGGCAGTGCCGGGGGTCCGCCTGGCCGCCCCGAGCCCGCGAGCCCCGAGCCCGCGAGCCCCAGCACGGACGCGGCCGCGGAACGCGGGCCCCGGCGGGCGCAGGAGCCTTGAACGCCAAGGCCAGCGCGAGCCTCCGACCGCACGCTGCGCCGCTCCCTCCGGGTTCCCGTGCCCCCGCCGGCGGGGTGGCGCCGTGGCGGGGGGGAGGTGACCGGCCCCGGGCCCCGACCCCCGACCCCCCGCCTCCCCCGCCGGCCCCGGGCCCCGAGGGCGGGGGGGGCCCCGACGGCCAGCCCCGCGCCCGCCCGCGTCCGCTGCCCCCCCCCGCCCCCGGGGCGCTCACCTGGCCGAGCCCCCGCCGCCCCGGCTCCGGCCCCGGCCCCCGGCTCCGGCCCCCAGCCCCCGGCCCCCGGCTCCGGCTCCGGCTCCGGGCACTCCCTGCGGCGCGCGCCCTCCAACGCGGGCGCTGCTACTTCTGCTTCGGCCGCGGCCGCGCGCCACGTGACCCCGGGGCCGCCCCCCGCGCCCCGGCCCGCCCCCCGCCGCCCCGAGGCCGCCCCGAGGCCGCCCCGCCCCGCCCCCCCCGCCCGCCGCCGGCCGCCGGGGGCCACCGCGGCGCAGCGTTCCCGGGGCGCCTCCTGCACCCGGCTGCTCCCCGTGCAGTCCGCGAGCGCCCGAGAACCGCCCGGAGCCCGCTGCTCTCGGGCCGGAGTGGGGAAGGGCCACTGAGGCCGCGCTGCGGTCAGGCCCCCGCTCGCGACCTTGGGCACTCCACATACTCACGCCCAGCCTCAGTTTCCCCATCTGTCAGGCGGGATCCAAACGGCGCCGGCCCGAAAGGAAGGTACAATTGGGACTTGATCTGTTTCCCAGTGAGACTTTTTTTTTTTTTTTTAATGACTCACTTTGTGAACTCAGAAGCTACGGATGTGATAGTCAAATGCCCGCTGTGGTATTTAGTTGATGGCTGTTGCATTCTGGTGTTTCACGAGACAATGTTTTCCTTTCTTTTTTATTTTTTTTCTTTTACGATTTTATTTATTTGTTCTAATCTACTTTATGTTTCTAAAGATTTGCCTCTTCTGGACATCCCAAAGGACAGAATGATGGGGAGGGAAACCAGGGGTTCAGAGAGGGTGACCGCCACAGCTAAGGAAGTGGTGGACTCGGGACTTGAACCCAGAACAGAACCTGTCACTTTGCCACCACACCACAGGGTCCTTCTTCTTTCCGATGACGACATTCAAACCTGTCAGCTCCGATGGTTGAAGCAGGATGCCTGTTTTAGCTTGTCCCATTTAATCCTCTGCCTCTTCATGAGAGACACAGGCAGAGAGAGAAGCAGGCTCCATGCAGAGAGCCTGATGTGGGACCTACCCAGGGACCCCAGGATCACGCCTTGGGCCAAAGGCAGACGCCCAACCACTGAGCCACCCAGGCGTCCCTAATTCACACTTTTCATGTGCACCTTTGATGCAAGCGCCTTCGTGATTAAAGCCAGTGTTAGGGTCACCCACAGAGCCGTCAGAGCACATCAGTTTTGCTCCTAAATTGCTTGAGCTACATCGTTTTTTGAACCTATGAATGTTGCTCCTACCGAAAATGTTATTTCTGAAGCCACCAGATGCATTCACCTCACCAACTTCAGAAATCCATAGATTCATTTCTTCCCCTGCACATCTCAGGAGTGTACCAGTGACTATTTCGCACAGACCACTGGCTGCCCTGTTTTCTAAAGAGATCTGTGAAAGGCTTCTTATAACGTCAGCCACTTGGAATCATGGGGCCAATTTCCAAGAAATATGGCTAACTCTAGGTTAAATTTCTTTGCCTTTTTTTTTTAAGTACTCCAACTTATATTTATTTCCTTTTAACAGTTTATTTCCTTTAACAATCCTTTTAACACTTTTAATTTGCTACATGTTATACGATGTGCACGATACCTTGGTACAACCACGTATGTGGACAATTTACTCTTACAAAATCTGCTCGTATAGGGAAGTGTGTTGAATCTCTTGCTGACAAAATGAGACTGTGTGCAATCAGAAGTTTTGGAGACCACTCCTGGAAGCTTTGGCTCCTAACCTCTGTCCAAACAGATGCTAATTCTGGCTGAAGCTCTCTCTGGTCCCTGGGGTCAAGGATGGAAGAACTCTCTGTTAATCTATGATTGTAAGCCTACAGCATCTTGGCAATTAAAATATCGGCATGAAATGATGGTCACAGTACATGGCAGTTGGCTTCTTCTTATTTTTAATTGCTTTTCTTCTCTGCCTCATCTGGTGCGATGAATGGGAATCTTTAGAGCTCCTCATCTCTTTTTCTTAAACTTCAGCTTGTTTGCTCAAAATAATTGGGACATTAGCTCCTCCCTACCCCTCCTCCTTCTGGGAGCACTAAAATACAAAATGACATTTCTTTTCCAAAGCACAGTAGGTAGGGGGAGAAGCCACCCTATCAAAAGGAAGGAAGGAAGGAAGGAAGGAAGGAAGGAAGGAAGGAAGGAAGGAAGGAAGGAAGGAAGGAAGGAAGGAGAAAAGAAAGAAAAAAGAAAGAAAAGAAAGAAAAAAACATCACAGGGAGGACTCGCGGGTGTCAAGTCAGTAGACAGTGGAGGCAGGATTGGAACCCAGGTCTGCGTGGTGCCAGCACCCATGGACTCAGAGTCCCACTGGCCATCCAAAGCTGTAACAGGAGGCATTCAGGCAGGGAGAAGTGAATTTGTAACCACTCCACACAGATTCACAAATGGGTCAGGAAGTGACCTCAAAGGGTGGAGGGAACTTTCTTTTCCTTTTCATATAAAAAGAAAGAAGAAGAGGGGGGAGGGGAGAGGGGGAATAACCTGAAAGAAAATTGTCTTTTCATCAGCAATTGCCTCAACTGTTTATCCTGTGTTCCTCACCAGTGCTCATTACATACATGTCCTTTCCCCAAAACCCTCTTCCATTCGCTAGCTGCCAGGGTGCACCGGCCGCTTAGGCCCTCAGGGTTCAGGGTTTCTGTTTCCCTCTCTGCAAATCCCGTACCTGCCTCCCAGGCCAATGGCGAGGATTAAATGGGACAAGCTAAAACAGGCATCCTGCTTCAAGCATCAGAGCTGATGGTTTTGAATGTTGTCATCAGAAAGAAGGACCCTGTGGTGTGGTGGCAAAGTGACAGGTTCCGTTCTGGGTTCAAGTCCCGAGTCCACCACTTCCTTAGCTGTGGCGGTCACCCTCTCTGAACCCCTGGTTTCCCTCCTCATCATTCTGTCCTTTTGGAATGTCCAGAAGAGGCAAATCTTTAGAAACATAAAGTAGATTAGTGGTTGCTGAGGGCACACAGGTAGGGGAAGGGGTACGGGGTTTCCCTTTGGAGCAAGGAAAAAGTTCTAAAATTGTGAAGATGGTTGGACAGTGCTATGAATATACCAAAAGCCACTGAACTATGCATTATAGAGGGGTGAATCGGGGTGCCTGGGTGGCTCAGTCAGTGAAGCCTCTGCCTTCAGCTAGGGTCATGGTCCCAGGGTGCTGGGATCCAGCCACATCCAGCTCAGCAGGGAGTCTGCTTCTCCATCTCCCTCTGTGGCTCCCCCTGCTTGTGCTCTCTCTCTGTGTCAGATAACTAAATAAGATCTTTAAAAAAAAAAAAATAGAGGGGTGACTTGTGTATATATGACATATCTCAATAAAGCTGTTCAAAAGAAACAAATCCTACCTTAGAAAGTTCTTGAAAGAATTCAAGGTAGTGGGTAACAACTGCTAAGGACAACAGGGTTGTCAATAAGTAACAGCCTCTCAGTCTGTTACGTGGTGGGCCCCTTCTCAGCCCCCAGTGAAGTCCCTGCCCCTGCCCCAGGAGTATTTTGGCCTCCCCCTCCACCGCCAGGGCCAAAAATGAGCAGAAAACCCCTGAGAGCCTTCGCGTTTGGTTTCCTTTCCCGACATTGTTCAGAGAAGTGCATGTCCCCTGGGGACAAGCCCAGTCCCAGCTGCTGGCTGGCAGGCCTCTGGGAGAGGAAGTACCACCCAGAGCTGGCTTCCAGACCTTGTGAGGGTCAAGCCAGGCCTAGCAGTTTGGGGGGGTGGGGGGCGGGGCCTGAAACCTCTGCTATTTTGTTTTTCAGGTTTATTGAACCATCATTTTTATACAAAAAGCTGCACATAATTAGCGTATACTAGTTGATAAGTTTGGACGGATGCAGTTGCCTGTTACCATCACCACAATCAAGGTAATAAACATAGCCATCACCTCCAAATGTTTCCTTGTGTTACTTTGTTGTTGTTGCTTTTTGCCTTATGTTATGTATGTGAGTGTGGCAAGAACGCTTAACATGGTATATCCACTCTCTCTTTGGTAATTCAGTATAGTCAACTGTAGGTAAAATGTTGCATAGCAGAGCTCTAGAACTTACTCATCTTGAGTGACAAGAACTTTATAACCAAACTTTAGAACACCTCCCCATTCCCCATGCTCCCACCTCCTGGTAGCCATCATTCCATCCTTTGCATCTTTGCATCTAGAAGCTTGAGTCCTTTAGGTGCCTCACAGAAGAGTCCTGCAGCAGCTGTCCTCCTCTGACCAGCTCGCCTCACTCACGTACTGTCCTCCAGGTCCATCCACATTGCTGCAAATGGTAGGATTTCCATCTTTTTAAAAGCTGAGTAATACCATTGTAGGTACATAGAACATTTTCTTTATCCGTATATTTATCAGTAGACATTTAGATGGTCTCTACATCTTGACTATGGTGAGTAATGCTGCTATGAGGATGGGAATGCAGGTATTCCTTCACGATCCCATCTTCAGGTTTTGGAGGGAGATAGATAGATAGATAGATAGATAGATAGATAGATAGATAGATAGATGATAGATAATAGATCAGAAGTGGGATTGCTAGATCTCATAGTGGTTCTGGTTTTCATTGGTGAGAAACCTCCTTGATGTTTTCCACAGTGGTT